CTAACAGCTGAAAAGAATCAGTAAGTCATTGCTGCAGCTGCTTACAAAGGGACACAAGCATTTATATAGCATGCTTTGTGTTAGAAGAAGACAGAAAACACTGCTTCCATATTGGATCAGAAAAAATATTTAGTTAAACTAGCTGTGGATTGGGAATGAGAAGAAGACTGTGACATGTAGACATGTTTTAAAGAATGATTAGGGCATTGTATCAAAGTTAGATGTGTGAATTTTTCCTATGAATTGTAGATTCTCAGAGCAAATTCAGACTATGGTTTGGGTTTAGCAATATGAGTCTTACAAATATTAGTCTATATTAGACTAGAATATTCTTTATTGGCCAAGTGTGATTGGACACACAAGGAATTTATCTCCAGTGCATAAGTTCTCAGTGTACATAAAACCACAAAGTAATACAACCATAAGATACCAATAGCAGAAGGTAGTAGGAAAAATGAGAAGAATAAAATACAGCCCTACAACATGGGTTAATATCCTTAGACATATTATTTAAAGCTATTGTATTTTATAGTATGAAAATTTATCCCAAATGTTTTTTGGTCAAATAAAATGGCAGTAGAAGGGTTGTGCAACATTGTAACTTGTTAACATTGCCTTCAACTTTGATTTATAACCTAGAAAACCTATTTTTACTGATATAAGATGCAAACATGCCATGTTGTTCAATGTTCTTTCAATCTCATCAAAACAATGTTATGACCAGGTTCAGTTATAATATTGTGCAGATTATGACACCAAATGGCCTCCAGTCTTCTTGAAACTAGTCAAAATAATTGCAAATGTCTCAATTCGGGAAGTATCAAGGTTGTGGCACACTGTATCTAGCCAGGAGTCATTTTTAGTGCTTGGATTGCATAATTTGCTTCATTTTAGAGAGATTCAGTTGATTTTGCAACCATGAGCAAGACCTTTCAGAGTTATAACAAAGTTATAATTATTGCCCAGTTCTAATTATATTTTTTGCAGTACAATATCAGAAGATGTGGAGAGACCTGTCCCATAGAATCATCAAAAGTAGGACACAACTGAATGGATAACATCATCATCAAAACAACAACAATTATATTTTTAGCCATATTACAAAATATAGTGCTTCTTAGTGTACAAAAATTAACCTCTGAGATGCCAAGCAAATTGATGGTTAGTTTTAAACAGATGTATATTATATTTAGATTTTCTATATAATGTATTTGTATAAAACAGCTTACAAAAAGAAGCCATCTGTTATGAGTCAAATATTCAAATGCTGTCACATTATGTATGTATGCATTAATTTTATAGACTGTTGCCATCCCCATTATTGGAAGACACAATGGCTCAGAGGCTTAATGACCCTGGAGACGGTCTCAGCTCCAGTGGTTCAAGCCCTAGCACTACGTGGCAGAGTGAGATCCTGTCAGTCCTCTCAGCTTCTGTCCATTTGAAAGCATGTTCTGTGCAAGTAGATAGATAGGTACCACTTTGGTGGGAAGATGAGCTGGTGCTTTGTGCAGACAGTCTGATTCCTGATGGCTCTGAACCTTCCCGATTGCAAGGCAGCTCTGGGAAGGGACGAGGCCTTAAGTGACAGGAGTGCAGGAAGAGCCACTCATCTTTCTCTCTGGTGCAAAGGCAGCTCGCCATCCTGCGGTGCATCTTGAGAAGTGCACAAGAGTTTCCTATAACAGGGCTGGTACCTTGGCAAGCCAAACTACTACTCTGCAATAGCATTGTGGTCTCCTGGCAACTGTAACAATGCCATACACTAATAGTTATAATAATAATAATAATCCACAATATACTTGTCATAAACCCTGAAATAGTATAGTTCAGGGGTAGGCAACCTTGGCTCTTTTATGACTCGTGGACTTCAACTCCCAGAATTCCTGAGCCAGCTATGCTGGCTCAGGAATTCTGGGAGTTGAAGTCCACGAGTCATAAAAGAGCCAAGGTTGCCTACCTCTGGTATAGTTGGTCATTCTCTCAAAACAAGTTTAGGACTTTTTATTTTGAACATCCAAAGTTTAGAGGGTGTTTTTCAAAACTAACAAGATAAGTGGAATTTGTTATTTCTGAAAATATTCTGCAATTGATAACAGCAAAATATATCTGAGATACAGCTAATAGAATTGTACCAGCAAACCACATACAGTTTTGACAGAGAAAAATAGAAAAAAAGGGCACCCAAATTTTAACAAATTATTCCCTCTTTATTCAATGTATCACTAGGGTTTTCACAGAGGTAATCTTAAATTGTATATTTAGTAATCCAAGAAAAGTATTTTATATAATAGTATCTCACCTATTTTTTATTTTTTTCATTCTTGCTAGCATACCTATCTTTAACTGCTGATTCATATTCATACATTCAATTACTTAGGTTTATTTTTCAGTCATAATTTTAAAAAATCACGTGTATGGCTTTGTTATTAAGGAAGAAAACAATGCAAGGAGCCAAAAAAGAAAATTAACATTTTATTCCTTATAAGAAGGTCATTATTGATACGGGAGATGCTTCTTTCCCAGGTAACTTATTCAGTTTGAAAATTATTCTCTTGACAGAAATCCTTTTAGATGTTCACATTCTGAAGGAGCTTTTACAATTTCAATCTTATTTTAAAAAAGTTGTAAATGTTGAGACTTTATAATATATTCTTACTGCTTGCCCAAAACAGTTTGCTACATTGTGTCACATCACTAAATTATGATTATTATCTGAAATATCTCTCTCTCTCTCTCTCTCTCTCTCTCTCTCTCTCTCTCTCTCTGTGTGTGTGTGTGTGTTTGTGTGTTTGTGTGTGTGTGTGTGTGTGTGAGAGAGAGAGAGAGAGAAGGAGAGGGAGGGAGAGAGAGAGGGAGAGAGAGAGAGAGAGAGAGAGATTTTCACAAACAAATTCATATTATTATTATTATTATTATTATTATTATTATTATTATTATTATTATTATTATTATTATTATTATTATTATTATTATTATTATTATTATTATTATTATTCCAATTTGTATCCCGCCCTTCTCCCGAAGGACTCAGGGCGGCTCACAACATTATTAAAAACAAAGAGAGACCCACACACCCCACCGAATAAAACCAAATNTAGTTTTAAACAGATGTATATTATATTTAGATTTTCTATATAATGTATTTGTATAAAACAGCTTACAAAAAGAAGCCATCTGTTATGAGTCAAATATTCAAATGCTGTCACATTATGTATGTATGCATTAATTTTATAGACTGTTGCCATCCCCATTATTGGAAGACACAATGGCTCAGAGGCTTAATGACCCTGGAGATGGTCTCAGCTCCAGTGGTTCAAGCCCTAGCACTACGTGGCAGAGTGAGATCCTGTCAGTCCTCTCAGCTTCTGTCCATTTGAAAGCACGTTCTGTGCAAGTAGATAGATAGGTACCACTTTGGTGGGAAGATGAGCTGGTGCTTTGTGCAGACAGTCTGATTCCTGATGGCTCTGAACCTTCCCGATTGCAAGGCAGCTCTGGGAAGGGACGAGGCCTTAAGTGACAGGAGTGCAGGAAGAGCCACTCATCTTTCTCTCTGGTGCAAAGGCAGCTCGCCATCCTGCGGTGCATCTTGGGAAGTGCACAAGAGTTTCCTATAACTGGTCTGGTACCTTGGCAAGCCAAACTACTACTCTGCAATAGCATTGTGGTCTCCTGGCTACTGTAACAATGCCATACACTAATAGTTATAATAATAATAATAATCCACAATATACTTGTCATAAACCCTGAAATAGTATAGTTCAGGGGTAGGCAACCTTGGCTCTTTTATGACTCGTGGACTTCAACTCCCAGAATTCCTGAGCCAGCTGTGCTGGCTCAGGAATTCTGGGAGTTGAAGTCCACGAGTCATAAAAGAGCCAAGGTTGCCTACCTCTGGTATAGTTGGTCATTCTCTCAAAACAAGTTTAGGACTTTTTATTTTGAACATCAAAAGTTTAGAGGGTGTTTTTCAAAACTAACAAGATAAGTGGAATTTGTTATTTCTGAAAATATTCTGCAATCGATAACAGCAAAATATATCTGAGATACAGCTAATAGAATTTTACCAGCAAACCACATACATTTTGACAGAGAAAAATAGAAAAAAAGGGCACCCAAATTTTAACAAATTATTCCCTCTTTATTCAATGTATCACTAGGGTTTTCACAGAGGTAAGCTTAAATTGTATATTTAGTAATCCAAGAAAAGTATTTTATATAATAGTATTTCACCTATTTTTTTATTTTTTCATTATTGCTAGCATACCTATCTTTAATTTCTGATTCGTATTCATACATTCAATTACTTAAGTTTATTTTTCAGTCATAATTTTAAAAAATCACATGTATGGCTTTGTTATTAAGGAAGAAAACAATGCAAGGAGCCAAAAAAGAAAATTAACATTTTATTTCTTATAAGAAGGTCATTATTGATATGGGAGATGCTTCTTTCCCAGGTAACCTATTCAGTTTGAAAATTATTCTCTTGACAGAAATCCTTTTAGATGTTCACATTCTGAAGGAACTTTTACAATTTCCATCTTATTTTTAAAAAGTTGTAAATGTTGAGACTTTATAATATATTCTTACTGCTTGCCCAAAACAGTTTGCTACATTGTGTCACATCACTAAATTATGATTATTATCTGAAAGAAATCTCTCTCTCTCTCTCTCTCTCTCTCTCTGTGTGTGTGTGTGTGTGTGTGTGTGTGTGTGTGTGTGTGAGAGAGAGAGAGAGAGAGAGAGAGAGAGAGAGAGAGAGAGAGAGAGAGACAGAGAGAGACAGAGAGAGACAGAGAGATTTTCACAGACAAATTCATATGAACCAACTCATATCACATTTGCACTGAAATATTACAATGGCTGATTAGCTTCTCTTTTTTAAATATTTGTAAGTAGTACTATGAATTCTAGAAGAATTTATATATTCAAGACAGCAAATACCATAAAGTCAATTTCTGAAACAGGAGGATAACCTGACAAAGGAATATACTTACAAGTAGATTTTCCATGGGTTTTCTCACAGTTTGGACAGTGGTAAATATCAATATCTGGTGCCTCATCTTCTTCTACACCAACACAGCTGAAATTTATAAAAGAACAAGTCATTGTTAAACAACAATATTAAGCAAAATCATCAGATATTTCAAGACATAACAACTATCGTGTCCAAGGTCCAACCTTCTTAAATTCTATAACAGGACCTTGGCTGACCTTTGTCAGTTTTGTGTGGTACTGGGAAATTAATGTATTTCAGTCTCCCTACTAAGATAATGTGTCAGATTACAAGTGATCAGGTGGATCTGGGTCATATAAACAGAGTGCGATAGCATAGCATAACTCTATTTCTTTGTTATAGCTAAATTAAGTGTCAAAAGTAATACCAAAGGCATACATATTTTTCATCTGGTGAAGCTAGGCCATAGGGACCTCTAATTTCTTAGTCTAAAGTGGTATTTTTTTTATTTAAAAGTGGTATTTTTTATTTAAAAAGTAAGCAATACTCTCCCTCCCAAAAACAAAATTATATAGAGGGTGCAATTGGATGAGAACTAATTGGAATTATATTTTGTATTTTTGTAATTGTATTTTTCACTTGTTTTACAAATGTCATTTTAATTCATGCTTTGCTACACATGGATTATCCTTATGGAGTATAGGAAGATGTCATCTATGACTTGGCTACAAATATAGAATTATGATGTTGTTGTAGAATTATGGTGGTTACTCCCGTTTTGTTTTCCTTTAATAGATTATAATTGCAAAGAAAGCTTGAAAATCAAAGGATGCTTCTGCTGAATAGTTAAAAATTGCTAAGTGGAGCACATTCACAGCAAATAAACTCTTAACATATTCCAAGAATTACTATTGCAATTATTGTTCCAAATATTTACAAACATACATCCTATAGTTACATTTTTTTTCTCTCACACACATACACACATGGAAGAAAATGTAGCAATACCCAAATAATTTGAGCAACCAATTTTAAGTATGAAACTTCATGCACAGATACCCATTCCATATAATTTGCTCTGAATATCAAAAGTGATATTTTATAGAGCAGAATTCTATCAGAGCAGAGTAGAATTGTATCCTTAATAACTGTGGAAAATCAGCATGAAGCATTGCGCTGAATTTATCAATTCACCCCTTTTCTGGCACATAATCATATATAATTTGGGATCTCTGACTTGTACAAGGTATTTTGCTACCAAAATCAACCTCTCCTGCACAGAGATGAACATAAATACATCTTGAATGTCAGAAACATATCACACACTCAGAACACCCAGTGAAGTTGGTAGCATACAGTATCATGCAACACCGTGCAATTATCTGAATGCAGGCCAGTAAAGAAACAAAACTGCAAAGGGGCCATATATCCAATGCTAGGACCTTTCTCACAGGGCATCTAGTTGAAAGTCATCATGAGGAGGAAGGGAAAGAGTGCAGCTGACCAAATAGGAGAAGAAATTTGTAGCCGTCCAGATGTTACTGAATATCCAGCAGCCACGGTCAACATGCCCAGAAGTAGGAAACATTGGAATTTGTGCTTCAGTAATATTTGGACAGTTCAGCAATGCAGGTAATCCTCAACTTACAACAGTTCGTGTAGTGACCATTTGGAGTTACAATGGACCACTGCAGCATCCTCATGGTCATGTGATCAAAATTCAGACAATTGACAACTGGCTCATATTTATGACAGTTGCAGTGTCCCGGAAACATGTGATCTTGTGACCTTCTTAGAAGCAAAGTCAATGGGAAAGCCAAATTCACTCAACAACTGTAGTGATTCACTTAACAACTGTGGCAAGAAAGATCAGAAAATGGAGCAAAACTCACTTAACAATCATTTCACTTAGCAACATAAATGTTGGGCTCAATTATGCTCTTAAGTCGAGGACTGCCTACATTTATTTTAATAGTATAGAAATATTGCTGCTTCTAATAAAGCAACTAAGCAAAGCATCTAAATCTTCCTGCACAAAACCTTAAAGAATAGCTGTCCCAAAGATGTTTTTTCATGAGGCAACTATGATCTGGATGACTGAGAATCTCCATAGACCTTAAAGAACAGCAAGCATCTATCTTCCATCCTTTTTAGCTTTGTAAATTGTTGATGCTGCACAAACTGTGGGGTTCTGCAGTCTTCTTACATCATCCCCCAAAAGAAACAGCAACAGAGCTGAAACTACTACAGGCTCTATACATTTTAAGGAGCGGTCTCTTATTTCTGCCTCCACTGCATTGCACTGAAGCACTTTCACAATGCTTACTCTCAACTGATAATGTGTCTTTAAACTAAAAATATTGAGACTAAAATCTTCCAGGCAATTAATATTACTTTTAAGAGTTGGCGATACTGTCTTCAAAATCCTTCTCTTAACTATTAAATGATTGTTGTTTGATCATAGCTACAAATTCCAACAGACTTATAATTCTATTAAAAGTTAAAAAATTTCAAAGGAATTCTTAGCTCTTTGTTCATGACAACTTTTTGTCAGTGTCTAATGTGAGTTTTGGATGTATTTGTGTGTGAATGTGTGCACATGTTCCTGCAAATACTTCTCTCTCATAGTAATATTCACATTATCCCAGGCTTATGGAAGCAAAATGGATCCATGAACAATCAACAGATCCATACACAAAACATGTTTGAATACTTAGAGAAATCCCAAGTTACACAGAAAAATATTTACTCAGATAGTTATCCATAAGATTTTCTCTAAATAATTATCCATGGGATTTTTCTCATGATTATTAGGTTCCACATGCTCTGTCCTTCCACATTTAACATGAGGACAATGTGCATGTTGTTCTCTCAGTTCTGATGGAAAATTTTCATCCAATTTCTAGGATGTGACAGCTGCAGTTCTTCCTTCTTTGTCCAGAATTCCTGAATTAAGTTTGCCATCATAAAACATCATCTTGAGTTC